TACATGCTCTCATACATACATTCACATACACATACATGCACGTGCACACACACACACACACACACATACATACATGTGTAGACATATAAATTGGGGTGTAGTTGCTGCTCATGAATATTTAAAAGGATGAAAGGAGATGGATTTTTGTTCGGCCTAAAACTATAGCTTTTTGATGTCTCATTCCCTCCCGTCTGTGACGTGGCTTTATCGTGTGTGTATGTATGTATGTGTGTGTGTGTATGTGTGTATGTGTGACATTGCGATTTTGCCACTAAGCTCAAATTTTTTGTCGATTTTGTCCTGTAACATTTCTTTTTTTCTCTGAAAATTTGAAGGACAAGCGGTTTTGCGGTATTTTTTCCCGCACTCCTACTTTTTGTACATCAAATTACAATGCCAGTGCATTTATTTTGCGCCAGATTTTCGCGCATTTTGCATTCAGCAAATTCATAACTCGGGATTCTGAGATGCTAGAAAGCTGGAATTTTGAGGGAATGTTCCCCGTCCAAGTAGGTGCTAATGGAGCTCAAACCCAACCCCGGGCAAGCGTGGTACCCGCGTGCGGGCCTGCCAAAATTTTTCCCTTGTTTACACATACTTTTAGCTCATGAAATAATTAGTTAGCTGCCAGTGAAAATCCGAACAATTTTAGTTTGGGAGCAGAAATTGGTTTATATATATAACACGGGGAATTAAGTCGAATCGTAAATGATGAAGCATAGGCCAATATGAGCCTTAAAATATAAATAGGTCGAAATCTTAAATTTGAAAAATAGGTACCGTGATTTTTTGTAGTGGAAGGACGAGGGAAGCAGTAGGGTTGAAAATGTAGTTAAGACACAAATTGTCATGTAAAAAAGTCATGTAGATTGAATATATCTGAACTTTTCTGAAAGTCTGAGTGGTTTATCTGGTGGGTATTTATAACTTAAATTCACTCGAATTTAGGGTTTTCTGCGGTATTTTTCGAGGAGGGGGAGCGGGGAGGTGGGGGAGGGGGATTTACCGTTTTGTTTGCATTCAGGTCGATGAAAGGTTGTTCCGATGATAATAATGTTGACCTTGTTTCCTCCTTCCCAACAATAAAAGCCCTGGCGTTGAACTCATTCCGGAATAAGTCCCAACCCATCATCCCCAGATGCCTTGTCAACATTGCAGTGATATTCCACCCCCTCCCCCCCCCCCCCCCCCCCCCCCCCCCCCCC